AAGATTCGATTTAGATCTCTGTCTGCGGCGTTCGCGGGGCTTTGTCTCTCTGTCCCCGTCTCTGTCTCTCTGTCTCTGTGTGTGTGTGTGCGTGTGTGTGTGTGGGTGGGTGTGTGTGTGTGTGTGTTTGTTTTTGTGTGTGTGTGTGTGGAGGAACTTGTCGCAGCTTGTTGCGTGCAGTTATTCTGCCTTCGACGGTCGTGGCCAATTGAGCGTTCTGAGCTGCGGCCAAGGGAAAGAAAAGGGCTTGCACGATCTAGTTGTGGGTTCGCCGGCCTTTCGCAAAAGATTTTGCATGGGCAGCCTGTTGCGAGATAAATACCTGCGCCAGTTGAACCAGCCTCATGTGTAGGCTTCCTCTTGTTGGAATCACCTTCTTCATTCCGTGGTGTACAGGTTTGCGCCCGTTTGGTTTTTCTGGCGTCAGGAGCCAGTACGAGTTTGTCAAGCTCATGGCGGGGGGTGGGGGGTCAGAGCCTTCCCTGGCTACCAAAAAGCAGCCTGGATTCTTCTACAGCTCAGCCGATGCTGTTCTTCCATACTTGCAACCTGCACTGACGAGGGAGTCACCGTTGGTCCTTTTCTTGTGGAGAGTTCTGATTGGCTACCATGAGACACCACGAAGGCTACTCAAAGCACCACGAGCACTACCACAGTTTGGGGCGACTTGGCCGGAAAGTCTGCTGCTTGTTCCGGGCCGAAGCTCCCATGTTCAAGCATGGTTGAGCCCTCATACGTGGATGTTTTCTTTCAGGCGTATTGGGGTTTTTGGCTAGTCAAGCTTTAGGGGACTCGAGTGGCTTTTCCGGGGTTGGTGAGTCCTATGCAGGCGGTTTTCCGAGACAGGTTCAGGAGGGTCCCGGCTTCCTTCGGCCTCCGCTGCCAGCAATTCTCCAACTTCCACTTGGTTTGGCTAGTTGGCGTGATATGCAGTTGTCAGGCTTTGGATACTCGTAGTACTTGGCGTCGTCGTCGTTGTCGTGGCAGTCGTAGGTGTCAGTCGAAGTGGAAGTAGAAATGGTAATTGTAGTTGTTGCTGGCGTGGTACTGGCACAAGTACTGGTACTGGTACTAGTTCTTCTCTGCGTACTCGCAGGACGCATGAGACCCAAAGAATGCGGAGGATAAGACCATCAACTACAATCCCGTGCCCCCCCAGGTGACATCATCATCGCCCTGGATTTCACGGTTGACGATGACAGGAGAGGAGCACTGCTGGACTTCGCAGCGAATGTGGTGCACAACGCAACCCGGCAGCTTTTTCCAAGCCTTTCTTCGGCGCCTTCTGGCCACCATAGACTTGGCCGACTGAGCCGTGAAAGCAAGCCATACCTGCACTGCACACTCCTTACTCGCCTTGCTCCTTGATCGGATCTTTGTTCCATTTAGCACATTCAGGCACTTTTGCGAGTTTCGTGATGACGTCTGAAAGCCGAAGGTTACTGGCAACGTGGGGGACCTCAGTGTAACCTTTGGCCTGATCTTATTCGCTGCGGACGTGGCTTGCTGGCAAGTGAGACTCCCGAAGCGTAAGAGCCAATCCTTCAGATGCCATGCTTTGGACTTGAATTCAGGATTTGCAGGGCTCACCAGTACTGGAAGCCCAGGCGATGGAGAACCAAGCATCTCTTCAAATTGTCAAGGTTCAAGGTGACAACGACGTGAGTCTTCGGTGCTCAGGCTAGTTTCGTTTTGGGGCTTCTTGAGAAGATCTGGGGTTCAAAGTTTCCAGCAGAAGCCCCGAAGCTGCAACTGCCGAAGCGAAGGCCACAGACCCCTCGGCTCATGGCATTTCGAATAATTATACTTGCTCATGAGGAATGTATGACTCCTTATGAGATAGCTTTAGCACAGACATACGGAAATACGTAGAGGGCCTGTCAAGAAGTAGGTCTGGGTTTTGGTATAGGGAAAGCCCTTAACCCGTTTGAGGAGTACGAAGTGACCCTGGAACCTGGGACGCCAGCGGAAGATTTCCTATACTACCTCCACAGCGCAGGCGGGCTTGGGGCGGTTCGAATTATACAACATATAATATCTATAATATATCATATATCATATAGCTTAGGAAGTTGGGTTGAAGTTCCAGGGTCGAGGGACGAAGGGCATAGGCTTCAGGAAGGGTTTGGGGATGTCGGATCGAGGCTTCATGAGTTTCAGGCTTGGGGCCTCATGTCCGTGCGCCACAAGTCTAAAGTCAGAAGCCACCAACATCGAGATCCTAAACCGCCCAAGTCAGCAGAACCCTAATCCGTGGACACCAAAAACGGCAGCCAAAACCCCATGCGTATGTGTGTATGTATATATATATATAGATAGATATAGATACATAGATATATAGATAGATATAGATACATATGTATATATACATATATATATATATATAAACCCTCTCTCTCTCTCTCTCGCTCGCTCTCTCTTTATCTATTTGTCAGTCTATCTATCTATCTACCTACCTATAGCCAAACATGATACACTATACATATATATATACACATGTATACATACATTTCGAACCCCTGCAGCCACAGGAATGAGCACCTTTGTCGGCCAGCAGCGGCCGCCAGACACGGCCTCCGTCCTCGACGTTTGTGCGGTAGAGCTGAACAAGAGGAGGGGTTCGAAAATTTCAGGGCTCAGAAGATTTAGGGTTGAGGGTACAAGTTTAGAGCTGTGATTTCAAAGGGTTGATAGCTTTTCGGCACTTTACGGGTTCAGGGCGCAGGCGCTTTAGGATGTAGTTGGATTTGCCGGGGTGGGGTGTGAAGGCAGGGTGCATGAGTTTTCGGGCGCTCTTCGGGAATGGAATGGCGTTCAGATCTTGTTGGGTGTGGGATAAATGCTGGGGTGAGCGGAGCTGAGGATAGGGAGAAAGTGTGAGGACATGGGGCCGACGAGTCATGCAAATCGCAGCCCATGGGAGCCTAGAACCTCCCACGATGCTGTCCCTTAAACCCTGAACCTGAACACTTCCTTACATCGAGCGCCAGAAGCAGGGCCGGCAGCATGCAGTGCCTCAAAAAACATGGCTGGGATTGAAAGCCTGGACGAAATCTCCCTGACCTCTCGACCCCGAATCCTCGAGCTTGAGCTAGTTGAGAATGAACTTAGCCCGAAGTTATCGCTTTGAAGGATTGCTGATGTGTCCATCGTGGTGGTGCTCACGTGTCTCGACAGTGTTGAAGTCGGGAACAGCACAAGTAAAAATTCACAGCTCAGGGTCTATGTAGCGCACCCCCCAAGACAAGCGCTTCTCTTCGGATCTTGTTGTGCTTTAGACGCAGCCCCAGACGTCAACCCAAACCGCCCAAGCCTTTCTAGGCAACGTGGGACTGTTTGTGCAGCTTATTGAGGAAGGGATCAAGCAGTCTTGGAGGGTTCTGGGGGCTTTCCATACTAAACAGGAACAAAGCATCCGTAGGCCTCACAACCCCGAGGAGCCTTAGTCCGAAAGGACCTCAGCCCTCGCAACTGTAAAGTCGTGTAGTCTTCCTTCGATGCTTGCGAGCTTCGGGGCGTCGCGGCCAGCTGGCTTGCATGGCTACTCCAGGTTTTCATGAGAGACTTGCGTTTACACTCGCTTGTTTGACATGCTCGGATGATATGATGCCGTTTCGTCGAACTACCGAACACTCGGTTTTTCAGCTGAGTGTATTTTTACGATGCGAGATGCCGGACCAGGTTGTGAGATTCGGATCGGCTTAGCGTATAGATCTCAATTCCGGGCTAGTTTTTTTTCAGAAATCCTCCCACTGTGCCTGTTTGAATTCCTTCGGTGCGTATCAGGGACACACCTCAATCCCCCAACCCGACAGCCATACTTAGAAGCCCGAGAACCCGAACCTCCCGTTGTCTCAGATTTTCGCCCGAGGAACTCCGTCTCCGATGCTCCGGTGCAGACACAACTGGCGGCCTCGCGGCTGAAGTTCGAAGGCATCGGCGAGGCACCCAGGGGGGAGGGCAGAGGGATGGGACTAGGGTTTTGATTTGTGGTTTAAGGTTTAGCGCGTAGGGTTGCAAGATGTTAAATCGATCACCGATGCTAATCTCGGTTTCAAGTGAAGCTGTTGTGCCCATAGTGTGTACGGGCCCCCCCTGCACAATAAGAAACAGTCGGCATGTCAGCTATGCAGGACGGCGTCCAGGTAGTGCCTGCAGGTATGCGAACTCTGCATACGACTGGTGTCCTCATTGGTGCGACATGAGATCACATGCACTCCCATCTGCTGCGCAACCAATCGAACCAGCACGACGTGGTCCAAGACTTGCGTCACGACTCATACCGATGGGGAGTTGTCAGACACAACAGAATCTTGTTTTTGCAGCAGCGTTCGCTGTGACAGCTTAGGCTCAAAAGCTGTAGGGACGAAGAGGATTTAGGACTTGGGCTTCAACCCCACCCTAAAGCCGAATTTCCAAGGGCTTATCGAGCTTACACCTAAGGTGATGACTTGGGGATTCAAGAGATACTGTTGCTGTAGGAGTCTGTGGGATGTAAGACTTCGGGTGCAGGCTGCTGCTTTGCACATTGATTTCAGAGCTAGGTTTTGGCCGGTGTCAGAGTATCGGGTCACTACACTGAGTACACTTTGCTTTTTCAACTTTCTCCACACATCCTGCATACCGATGAAAACAGAAACACAGAAAGCCTGGGGCCAGACAAATATTGCTGTTGTTGCTGTTTACAAATCACCGTTGAACCCTCTTAACCAAGATCATGTCAATCATTTGTTTCTCTCTCTCCCCCTCTCTCTCTGTCTCTCTCTCTCTCTCTCTCTCTCTCAATGCATGTGTGTGTGTGTGTCTTTGGCTTCGTTCACAGCCCGAAGTAACACTGTTCAGGCCTTGCAAAGCCTTGTCGAAAAGGGCCATGCCAACTTGAAATTTAGAATAAGTCGGACGTAGATCGCAGGTTGTGGTCATCGCTGTCGGCATGGATCCACCCGATGAGCGCACAAGCATACGGCAGAACGAAGCTCGTCAGCTTCGGGGCGTTCAGGGCCTCTGCACTTTCAAAAGCAATACTGCTCCTACTGCTACTACTTCTACTACTACTTCTTCTTCTAATGCTACTTCTTTTACTACTACTCCTGCTCCTACACCTACACCTACACCTACTCCTACTTACCGCTACTGCTGCTACTGCTCCTCCTCCTGCTGGCACTACAGCACTACTGCTGCTGCTGCTGTTGCTGCTGCTGCTACTCTTCTGCTGCGATCAGTATTAGCAAACGTAGCAACATAATGGCAAAGATCATGAGAAGCACTTGTGCCAAACACTCGAAAGATTACCAGCTGCGGAGTTCAGCGCACCTGTTAATGTGTTGTTAATGTCTTGGGGATCTTTGGTGACTGGTGCAGGCACTCCGTATGAATAGGACAAGGAGAGACTGCGCCCCAAGAAGGCAATACGAAGCCACGAAGCCAGTATTGGTGATTCTAGTTCTCCGGCTGAGGAGTTGGAGCAGATGGCGACATCACCCAGCTTCGAGCGACTGGACCATTTCCAGCAGGGTGGGAGTCGAACATGTAAAGTCTGGTGTGTAGTGAACGACCTTCCTGAGATTAGACGGTCTGGCTGTGAAGTCTGGGATGGTCTTGGGATGCATTGGGACAAAGCTAGTACGAGTTCGGCATCTTTCCCTTTGAAATAAAGGCACCAAAGTGACTTCCCGTCCAAATGCAGCCTGCATTCGAAGACTTCGACCGATAAGCTGCACGCACATTTCAATCGGTTGCCAGCACCGTCACCATCATCTGCAGCAGCTGCAGCATCATCACCAGCACCGCCATCATCATAATCGTCCTCATCAACTTCATAGTCATCAAACTGATGATGGTGTTGGAATACGTTGGATGTAATGCCACGGCGGGACTAGCCGTTGCTGATGTGAACTATCTTGTATGACCCTCTGGAGTTCAGCGAGCACCCCGGCACCGAAACCCCGCAACCTGAAAAGTCCTGGACCCCAACGATCCAGCACGCCAAGCCGAGTGCCCTAAGCCCACAAAAGCCCCGTGCTTCTGTTTTGGGATGTGCTCTGGAAGCTAAGGTATGACGCCTACTACGACCAGGCTGGCCAAAGTGTCGAAAGTGGGATTCCGGGACTTGGGGTTGAGAATCAGGCCAGCCGTTGCATATTGGTAAAGCAACGAGTTGTTACTCCATCTCTATACGAGAATCTGAAAGATAACTCTCGTGCACACATGTTAAACTCCAAGTCATCAACGACTGCCGTAGGCTCTAGCGCCCCACCACCTCTATTACCACCACTACTGCTGCCACTACCACGACCACGACGACGACTACTACTTCAACTAATGATGCGAGTGATTGCCAGCGCTACTGTCACGCCCCTACCAGCACGCCGACAATGACGACTACCTCCAGCATCTCCCTCGTCAGTACTACGGGTTTCAAGAGCCACCTAAACCCTAAAGCCCTAAGAACAATAAGCAGGTCGACGGTGGGCGACGGCTGCGAAGCCTCCTTGCTCCAGTACCTCTCTCCCAACTCGCGCCCGGGTTGCACTGGACTGGTGGTCCTTTTCGTTTGGGAGGCTATGCTTGGACTAAGCACAAGTCACTGAAGCTTCAGATTTTAATTGTGGTATCTTGGATGTCAATGTTGGGGTGTGGTGCTTCCGTGCAGGTCTTCTACTCTTGGTTTACGTGGGCTGAGGGTTGTTCCTGGACCTGTAGGTCCGAGGTCCACTACTCCGCAGATTGTTCAGGGAGCTTCAGAGGCAGCTTGGGACCGTTGCGGGTGATCAACCAGACATTTCCCATAATAAGACTCTTTCGCTCTGAACCCCAAGCTTCAGAGCCTTCAGCCACAAACCAAGAACCATATCGAAACTCGACAAGTCCATCGCATCCAACTCCGATCGTTCTCGCACCGACCGAACTGCGGCTGCATGGTTTACTGCTCCGTTTTTGGAGTTTACAGATCGATACAACGAAGTCCGCATCCTTATCGATCCATTAACCCTTGAACCCCAAACCCTAGACCTAAACTCTCCCACCACACTTAAGAAAAAGAGCTGCAAACAAAAAGAGACATCCGTGTGAATAACCCAAAAAGACCTCATATTTTTTGTGAAAGGCGGAGAAGCTCGTCCCACAGGTCTCTGCTGCTCGACAACGGTTTGGGGTTTTTTGGCCTTCTTGGGATCCGGGTTCAGGGTTTAGGGTTTCACAGTTTAGGGTTCAGGGTTTAGGGTTTAGGAGGGTTCAGGTTTGGGGGCGCAGGGGGTGTTCACAGTGGTATTTATTGCGCAGGGTGCCGGTTGTTTCTGTGGGTGCATATGGAGCCTTGACACAAGACTGTTCGGCATTGTGGTCCTCTTTTTCAGACGTGCTTGGGATTTGTAGGGAACATGATTTAGAGGACTTTACTATGCTCAAGACTTCACTTGGCTGTTCAGTTATTGGGTTCAAGAGCTTAGCATTGGTGCACTCCACCACGCAGCACAGGGTTTCAAGCACGAAAACATGTTTCCCAAGCCCCAATCCTACGATCGACGCGCAACATCTGAATCACTGAGCCCCCAGACCCTGGCGCAGGCAAGCCTCGGGAGCCTGGCGATAAGGATGTAAGTCAAGGCTTAGGGTGCGGCGATGCTCCTTGAGAACGTCCCAGCCTGGGTTAAATTCAGTAGCGACCCACTTCGTGGCATTCCGTGGGCCTAAAGAAGCTACCCAGAGGTAGCTCGAGTCTCTCTTCTTGTTGCCGTGCTTCAGTAAAGGATCCCTAGCCTAACTTCAGGTCGACCAGAAAGACGAACGACAATTGAGAGTTCTCTTAAGCAGATCAACATGAGGTCCAAAATCAAGCATATGGCTCAACAGAATAATCCCTAGAAGTTCAGCTGCTGCTATGTTGTGGGTTGCTGCTCTGAAACATAACCATAGTATGTACGTTTATCCGAGTGTTCGCTGCCATCCAAGGGCGTCATCTTGCAGATTACTACGACTTTGGCGGCACCCGAGGATACTTCGAGGGGTGTGGGAGCAGGAATCATTCTCCTCGTCCGGAGTCCCAGCTGGCTGTTGAGCTCTGAAACCACAGCCTTCACCAGCTGAAAACCCGGGGGCGCTGAACTCTTTTTGTTCTCGGGACCGCTGCGAAGGGCTATCTCGAAGAAGCGGCAAGAACAGCCGCAGCTACGAGTAGCAGTCGTCGTCGTCAACTGGCAGCAGCGGTAGCAGGAGTAGCAGGAGCAGCAGGAGTAGCACGAGTAGGAGTAGTGGGAGTAGGAGTAGGAGTAGTGGTGGGAGTAGGAGGAGTAGTAGTAGTAGTAGTAGTAGTAGTAGTAGTAGTGGTAGTGGTAGTGGTAGTGGTATTCATAGTGGTAGTAGTAGTAGTAGTAGTAGTAGTAGTAGTAGTACTAGTAGTAGTACTAGTAGTAGTAGCAGCAGCAGTAGTAACAGTGGTGGTGGTGGTGGTGGTGGTGGCGGCGGTGGTGGTGGTGGTCGTCGTCGTCGGCGCAGCACAGTAGTAACAGCGACAGCAGGTGCTCCTTGTCCTACCGTGCCGTGCTGACCCGTTCGACGAGTCGGTCAACCACCGCTTTGTTCCCCAAACTAGGAAGCTACGAGATGCGATTCTTGAAAGCAGTGTGCCACGTTGGTCTGCAACAGCAATCCTTACAGGTTCTTCGTCCTCCCTGGAAGTGGCCAGAAGCCACACTTCCTCAAGCATTCCTGAAGCCTTGAATGAGGCTGTGCTTGGCGGCATTTGCTGTTTCTCCGCCATCGCAGCTGTGTCCTTTCTCGCAGCCTGCTTTGTTTAAGACTTTCGGCCAAGGGCGCAGGGGTCAATGAGCACTCCCGCTTCTGCTATGGGGTCTGAGGCACGGGGTTGGAGGGTTATGATTTGGATGTCTTGCGAGGACAACTTGAAGACCCTGAGCGAACCAGAAACGAACAAACTGTAGGGGTTCAACATCCCTGTTTCCGGTTCCGGCCTGAGGTATGCAAGCGCATGAAAGAGGGCGAGGAAGAGCAGAAGAAGATGTCGGATGTGGTCCCGGCCCCTTCAGATGCTTTCAACTGCAAAGTGAGAGCGCCCAAGTAAATTGTTTGTTGCGTAGTCTGGGTAGATCTTCGGTTACCCCAAGCACAGACCCGTAAGCCCCCCAAACAGACACCATAAAGCCCTAAACCTCAAACCAGAAACCGAAACCCTTAGAACCCAGATCCATGCTTGCCTGGTTTCCTTGGCTTAGGAGTCAAGCATCCTTGAGTCTTCGGAGATCTGGCCTAGTCGAGATTAAGTTCCACGGCATTAAATAAGTTGCAAGCAGGTGGTGCTAGCTACGTACGCGCTTGATCTTGAAACTGCTTGATGAGCGTAGTATTAAGGACAGTTTCCTCTGTGTTTTTGCAGCAGTGCAACATGCCGCGCAAGCCTTCACTCCTGCCGGGAATCCCAAACTCAATACCTTAAGCCCCAAACCGCAGAAGCCCAGAGCCCTATAGCCTCAAAGTCTAGATGACTACACCCTAAAACTCCCTAATCACAAGAACCCGAAGTTACGAAACCCCAAACCCGAAATCACAAGATCCCCATGATCCCCACCCCTCCCCCCGCCCCAAACAAACAAAAAAAGAAAAGGAACGTCCTCGCCCGCCCTCTCTCCGAGGATGCGGGCCCTGCCCGGCCTCCGATCGAACCACAGCCTCGACCGAGTCGGCCCGAGGAGCCGGACGACGAGATGCAGCAGCAGGCCTCGAAAAAAAGGGGGACTTGAGGAGTTTTGTTGGGTGGGTTGAGGATGTGGGGTTTAACAGGGGGACTTCAAGAAGTTTAGGGCTTAGGAGGGTTTAGGATTTTAGGATGTTTTGGGTTTTAGGTTTAGGATGTGGGGTTTAGAGTTTAGGGCTGGGCGTTCAGGACAACAGTGAAAGTATTGACAGCGATCACAGTGAATATCCAATATAGATGCAGCAGTACCCTTGATGGATAAGATATTACTAGTGATGCAGTCGTAAGTATAGCAATGACAAATGATGCTGATGATGAGGAGGAGGATGAGGATGAGGATGATCAACATCACCATCACCATCATCATCAGGCATACATATCGACTTTTCCTTTACTTGATACTTTTCTATTCGTGTGTCTACCGATCTAGCACTTACATGTCTCATGGTCGATGTAACCATTGTCTGTTTATTCACCCCTACCAGCACTTGCAAGTAGCTAGTTTCGATTCCATTTAGTATCTATGCTTGTGTTATATTCATGTGTCTGGTTGTACAAGCAGGTGAGGTAAGGATTTCCCTTTCAGAGGTAACCAAGAAGATTTTCCAGGATTGCCTGAGGTTTTTGCAATCGGGTGTGATACGGGCTGGTCCAAGTTCATGCGCTCTAAACTCGATCCTTGAACCCAACAAACCCCTCAACTAAACCCCGTCTAGACCACTGAACCTGAAACCCCCAACCCATAAGTCCTTGCAGCTCTTAAACACAGCAACAAAACGTAGAGACGCCCCGGTTCGATTCCCCGACCTGCTGTGCAGATCAAAGCGGCGATGGGAGCACAGGACCTTCGGAGACTGTCCCTAAGCGGCCAGGAGTGTCACCTGCTGTTCGTCTCGGGGCCTTAGAATTGGGTTCCGGGGTATATTTATTGCAAAGGAACCTTGACGAATTTCACCTGGCTGTTAGTTGGAAGTGTACTTGTGCTTAGTGTTCTTGAGGGTTACAGATCTGCAGCAGCAATGGATTTACGGCTCAGAGAGCCGCCCCGAATCTGCATTCAGAGCAGCCTGCCCCTAACAAGCGGAAGTCCCACTCAGAGGGTGCACTCATGCAGCACCAGGTAATTCGCTAAAGCCTCAACCGCAAACCAACAGATGCAGACCGCAGATCTTTCGCTAGAGAGGAATATGCCTCAAGCCAACCCTAAACTAAACCTTTGAGTGAAAAGACATGACATAGTCACACTCCAAGTCCGAAGTCGGTCCTAAGTCCGAAATCTTGAGCCCTGCCAGCTTTGCAGCCTTCCATGACTCGAAACCCTGAGCCCCCGGACTCGCCTACCCTTTCAATTGCGATTTGAGGCGAAAGTTGCTCTCGGAGATCTTACTTAAGGGGTATCCGCCACCGAAGTACACGGTCGCTCGGCTGGGTTCAATTTGAGCATGGGGCTTCAGTGCCTTTAGGGTTCAAAGAGGTTCGTTGCTTGGGTTTTCCAGATCCACAGTGCTTGTTTTGGTGGGCACAAGAAGGGAGCTGTGTCCTGCCAGTTCCACGACCTGTCCCAGAAGACTTTAAACAGAACCGAGTCCAGTTCAGGCTTAGGGATTTGTAAATCGACACCTGTTCAAAAAATATTGGTGTTACGCGCTGTGAAAATCCGTAAGGGCTTTACACATGTGACAAATCGCTGCAGCTGCATTGGCGCACATACACACGCACACGCGCACTCGTGCAGACATGTAAACCCTCAATCGCCGTGTGCGCCTCCGGGTCTTGGGAGATCTGAAGCCAAGTTCGAAAGAAGGTACACAGGTAAAGCCCATTGTCTTGGCTAGCACTGATTTGTGAATTTTCCTGGCTTGAAAGGCTTTGGTCCTCAAGGCCCTGCAGTGGGTGGAGGCTTCCCGGCCTTGGAAAGGTATCCCTCCCCGGTTAGGGCCTCTTAGGGCTTGACGATTTCGCTGCCAGGGTCGCAGTTGCAAGGTGTGGAGTTTTCAGGGCTTGTTACGCCAGCAGGTCTGCAGGCTTCTGCCTGGCTGGAGGGGTCCGGGCTCAGGAGCCGAGGCTTCGCGTCCATAAATCTCCTGAGCTTAGATTGCGACTTAACTGGCAGCAGATGGTGTTTTGTATCCCTGTAACTGAGTGTCACCTGTCGATCCTTGCCTGAAGAATTCCTGGCCGAGAGTTTCCATACGGACCCTGCTCAACCCGGAACGGCGGGCAGAGAATGTCCTGCAAAACTCAATAAAAGAGCTGACGGCCCTACCTAGATGCCAAACTCGTATAAACCCTGAGGCTTAACTGCCTCTAAAGCCTGAAACCTACACACCTTTGCTGCCCTAAACCTTAACTCGAAGCCCCCGAGTCCCAAAGCCGTAGGTCCTAAACCTTAAGACCCTCAAAGCATAGAGCCTTGTTTAAGAATCCCATATCTATATCTATATCTATAGCTATCTATATATCTATCTGTATGTATGTATGTATGTATGTATGTATGTATGTGTATATATATATATAGATGGATATATAGGTACGCGACATTGTGTGTATGTGTAGATATATATATAGATAGATAGATAGATAGATAGATAGATAGATAGATGGATAGATAGATAGATAGATAGATAGATGTACATCCAATGGAAATTCCTTTCATAAATCTGTTAAAGAAACCCTCCCACAATAGCATCCTTCTAGGGGACTCTATAACAACACCCCGTAGCAGCCTTAAAGGGGATCCTGTTTTAGAACCCCGATCGCACCCTCAGAGGGGGACCCTAGTCTAGAACCCTCTGACACGCTTATTGGGTAGTTCTCTAAAATAGGGGTCCCTTTGGGGGGGTCCGTTTTTATAAGGGCGCCGTACTATGTTAGGAGCCTAAAAGGGACCCTAAATTAGAGAACTACCCTTCTAATGAGAAGTTTATATAAGCCCTAAACCCTAAATCCCTAAGCCCTATACCTCGTGCGACGAAAAGGGCCAACAATAAATCTATAACTCAGCCACCAACGGCGAAGCAAAAAAAGGCGCAAAAGCCGGAGGCCGAGTCGGCGCTGAAGAAAGTGCCTGGGAAGAGGGAGCTTTGGTTCTGGGATTTTTGTGGTTTTCGGGGTTTAGGGTTTAGGGCTTCTTTGGTTTTTTGGGGGTGGCTTTAGGATTGTAGGGTTTAGGACTTCAGGTGTTTTGGGTTGTTGGGCTTAGGGCTTTTGTGTTCCAGCGTTTAGGGCTTTAAGGGTTTGGGGCTTTTAGAGAGGACTTTGAGGTGTTTTCGGGTTTTGAGGTTCTCGATGGCTTTGGTACTCAGGATTTCTGGTTCACTCGGCTTGCTTGGATGATTTTGTGGTGGTTAGGGCCTATGGGGGTTTAGGTTTGGGGTGTACCGGACACGCCGACTGGCCGCCGAATCCGAAAGCTGCGAGCTTACAGAGGCTTTCGGCTTCGGGTTTTCTCGTTTTTTGGGTGTCGGAGTTCTGCTTCCAGGCCTTTGGCTTCGGGCTTGCACTTAGCATTCGAACCTACTTTCGAAGTCTCCCCTGTCCTTCAAGTATGGGGACGCGCACAAGAGAGACCCTCAGAGCTCTAAAGACCCTCAGCTGCAGCGCCCCGAGGCGATGAATCGGAAGATCTCGGGCGAGGTCCAGGAGTGCTCAATGGACGCAAGGCTTTTTGGGGACTGGTGGGTTTCGGGATCTTGGCCTCCGAGGTTTGCAGGTTCAGGATGTAGGGAAGTTCGAGGATTCCACGCCATGAAGAGGACTTTGACTCACCAGGCCTTGAGGCGAGGAGTTGGGCGCTACAGGTTTTGGCTTGGGGGTTGGCAGCTGTGCACCAGCCGAGACGTTTCGCTGAAGCCTCTCGCTGGCAAGGCAACCACCGCACAGTCCTCACATGAAGACCCCAAGAGTTAATGCAAAGAAATCAACAGTCCCTGGAACCTGAACAGTTTTGTGGTACAGGTTCTGCGGCGTGGATTATGAACTGCTGAATCAGGCTGGGATGCCGGCTCTCACCAGTCTGGTGCCTACACCCTGACCCCCAAGCCGAATCTCTTGTTCAGGGTTTGGGGACGTGCAGAAGGAGTTTTTGAGCGCAATGCCTTCGGGTTTAGGCTTTGGACGTCTGGGCATTGGAGATCAAGCTGTTTCTGAGACTGCATAGGCAGCTTCTTGTGATGTCGGCGGGTTCTGGGTTGGAGGCTTCAGGCACACAAGCGATAAATTGCAAGAAGTTTCTCTTGCTTACGCAAAACCCGGCTTGGGCTCGGAGTTTCTCCCTTCAGCATTTAAGATTTCGCAGTGCCACGTTGTTGGTTCCTTGCGGCTTGAGATCAGGCGGCCAACGTCCAACTGCAGCTGGCGCCCGGCGGAGTGAGCGCAGGCCAGGCACACGAAGCGAAGCGACACCACGTGGTGAGTCTTTCGATTGCTCGGGTTTCCTCTAGGGGTCTGAACACTTCAAAGCAGTAGACTCAGTATAGACACGCATCATACTTGTACCATGAAGACCCCCCAAACACCCTAGTTCTAAGTACCCACGGCTCCTATGTTATAGAACTCCTTTGGCAACCCCTTAGAGGGGAACCCTGAAGAGAACTCGGGTTTGAGCCCTTAGGCCCTTAGGGGTTTCGCGTATGAGGCTTCGTTTTGGGGTGTTCGGGCTCCAAAAGAGTTTGGATCTAATGGCTCGTTGCGCAGGCTCGGAGCGAGGTTTAAGTGGACCCCGCTGCAGTTTGCGCCTGCTTGCCAGGCTCCTTGTACTAGCCGATGGGAGGCGCGCGGCATTTTCTGGTGAAGGTTCTCGTTTTCGGAAGGGAGGAAGGGAGGAGGGGTGGGTATATTCCTGTAGAGACTCTTCGGGGATATCATTATTCAAGTGTTCAGCATCGTTCTGGTGACATGATGTCGCAATGCTTATTTCCTTTGGCCGAGGCATGCTCTTAGCCCTCCCATTAAAAGCCTGAGCCCGAGACCCGCGCTTTAGTTTCAGGCGAGCTTGTGCATCTTCTCCTGATCTTCCTCACC